TCTCGAAACCCTACTCAATTACGACCCTATACAGCCAAAAGCGTCTAATCATGGTCTTTATATCTTCGATACGTACTTTTATATTTGAATGTGTCGTTGCGTTTGTAGGTGTGTAGGACAGGGTAAGAAAACACTGGCATCTACAACAGGGCATAACCCCAGTCGCGGCTAATCAATGTTTAATGATACTCTGAAAAACGTTAATGTGATGAACAAATCATTCAATCGGCCTGTTGAGTTGCCTTCCATTTGGCTTTGGCTCACCGGCAAAACGAAGCTGGCTGGGCTTCGAGGGTGGCCAAATGACAAATCGTTTGAAGCCAAAGCTCCTGCAAAATCAACAATGCAGGGTCGCTCAAGTGGTAAAGGTTTCTTAGAAGCCCAGCGTTTTGTTGTGCATTCCTTGAGGGCGGGATTGTAAGTCAAAGAGAGCCGGACTGATGGGCTCCGTTGAGGGCTATTTTTTGATTTTACCCTTTTGTGGGGGTTCTCGGCGCGTCTTCTCCTTCTGCGCTTCCTCGCGGGGCGGTATCGCGTGCTCCGGGACGAGGGGTTGGGCGGGCCAGTTGAACAGCTCCTTCAGACTGACCGGTTCTCCGTCGTCGCAACGTTCGAGGAAATGACGAACTGGCGAGTTGATGGGCGCCAGGTCGCAGGCTCGGCATCCGGACGCAGTGCAGACAAGGCCGGTGCTGGCACCAGAGAAGACGAGCAACTGGGCGCAACGAAGATGGTTGTTGTGGGCGGCCAGATGAAGAGGAGACGTGCCGCACCAGTTGATCGCGTTCACCTGTGCCCGGTTGCACAGCAACAGTTTGATCGCCTCCAATTGGCCGAACATCGCGGCGTAGTGGAGCGGAGTGTAGCCGACGGCGTCAAGGCAATTGATGTCGATACGCTCGTGCAGAATGCGCATCATCGTGTTGAGCCGACCCTCGGCGGCCGCCTGGCACAGCGCCTGCTCCATGTAGCTGTAGACTTTAGGCAACGCGGCCGAGGATGCGGATGTCGCGGCCGCCGACGCAGACGCCGACATGGAGGCGGAGGCGACAGCCGCGGTGGCAGGCGTCTGGGGCCCGTCGTCGCCCGACATGGCGGCACGAGTCGAGCCGACTGACTTACGACGTCGGTGCGCTGAGTTGGACTCGCCGGAACAGGCTGAGGACGACTTGACGGAACGGGTCGATACCGAGAGCTATTTGAAAGGCGCGACGGCGGTGCACTTTCGGTGCGGATGAATGGGACGGCGACGGGCGGTCAGTCGGAAATACGATCTTGTTAGGGGGACCTTCATTTCGAATGAAAGTACATGATGAAGAGATTCGTTTGTCGTTCTCACCAGA